TCCTGTATGTTTGCCTTTATTCAGTAAAGTTACCATTAACCGTTAACCTCCCTGGTGGTCTGATTATGTCAATATTTTTGAATGTCAAAGCGGTAGATTGTTTTGTATGGAAATTTGTTGTTTTATATTGTAGGCCTGTAATTCTTAGGAATAACTCACTTAAATCTGTCCAAACAAGAGTCTAGTAAACATCCCAGGTATGATAAAGTTTGAAACAAAAAAATCATAAATGATAATATATTAAATAATTCTAAAAAAATAATATAATAATAATAAATTTAATTCAGTAATGTAATCAAACCAAAAACAACTTTTGACCTAAAGGGACACTTTTTGGATGCCATGGACGTTCTCAAGTTTCCAGGCAGAAAGAATGGTAAAAGTGCAGGCAGGGCACAGGACAAAGCACTAGGGACAAAACTGAGGTGAAATGGTTTGATACAGCAATGTAATCCTAACAGATTACAATGTATTGTGTGTATATCATGTTTTGTTTACTTTTTTGAATCTCCTGCCGGTTCCGGCCCCTGCATCGCCGCGCTTGCAGGGAAGGGAATCCAGAAGATGGATGCCGGCATCAGCTGGAGGACGCAGTGGGAAGGACATTAGGGGATCGCAGGGACAAGGTAAGTTACTCTACAGTGTAATCCCTTCTGTGGCTCGGGGTTACCACTTTTGATACTGAAAATGAACCCCGAGCCACAATACGAGATTATCACCAGGAAGGTTAATTGCCATGTCTGAAGTTTCATCCTAAATGGTGGTGTATCCAAAGAACAGGTTGTAACATGGAGACTGTAGGTTAGAGGAGACACAGTACATTTTAGTCCAGCAAGTAATTTGCTGTCTAGTGTAGACTATATTGCCATTACTAAGGACAACCATACATCTATCATTGCTCATGTCAACCAACCAGCTAGGAAATGGGTGACTTGGAGTAGGGTGATAGTTACTGTGGTAGTGAAGGGGATTAAGTGCTTGGCACCTTTACTGTACCAGTTGCCCATATATACTGGGACCAGACCTGTGGCACAGTTTACCTAGGGAAGTAGCCTGGGAGGTCACGAGTTATGTTATGTAGAGGGGGGCCCCTGAGAGAGAGATCAAGCAAGTATTTATGGAGTGAGGTTCATTTCCTGTATTCATTGGTAATCGTGGACATGTCATTAGGAGTAGGGTGATAGGTATGGCTGGATTGGTTGATGCCAGTGCAGGCTCTGTGATACCAGTTCCTAAATGCTTCTTATTTGGGAGTTGGTGTTCTCTAACTGTAGTAGTGTCTGGAGTGCTTAGTGTTAACAATACGATCAGTTAGCCTGGGGTTGCTAGAGGGTTAACTGTGTTCATTGTGGCTCTTCTTCTAAATCTGGAAGTACGCCTTAATGCTAATGTTCAGAATAAAGCAAATGCCTGTCAGGAACCTAGGCAATTAGTGAATGTAGTTCTTACTGTCCCCCACTAAGGTGCCTAAACCTAACCCACAAAGTGATCAGCTCACAAGATTTTCAGCATGCTTGATATACTTACTGTGGAACCAAAGGGGTTAATCCTCTGCATTATGTAAAAAAGCTGTTTGATCCTGACTTCTCTAATCTTACCCTTCTTCCAGTGTTCCCCTTTTATCTCCTGAGAAGACATATCATGTGGAGACACTCTGCACATGCTCAGTTTGGTGTGTATTACTAGAGAGGTTCTTTTTTCTTGGGAGAGTGCATGTGATCAGCACAGGGCCAATCAACATTGTCCAGACAGAGGTCAGGGATTCTGCATCCTCCTAGAGGGTAATGAAAACTCCTCCTACAAGCTTTAACCAGTGCTCTGCTGAACACTGATAGAAGTCACAAGACTGCTCTAACTTCTGATGAGAAAAGGTATTCAGCAGTTTATATCTAAAATAATTGCACATTTCCATGTTCTGTGTACTGTGGGAGACCAGATAGAGTGAATGCAGGGTCCTGGGTTTAGTAACACTTTAACCGCCTCCTGTCCACCATATAAAGTAATGAAGGAAGGGCGGCAGTTCTCTCGTTCTGGGAGGACATCATATGACATCCTCTCGCTGTAAATGCGCGTGCGCGGCTCGGGGGGTGCACGGTGACCAGTGGTGCACTGTGTCCCTGGGACACAGCGGATCACTGATCACTGTAAAGAGCCAATGACGTTGGCTCCATCATTTGATCAGCTGTGTCCAATCACAGCTGATCACATGTAAATAGGAAATGCAGGTTATCCCGCTGACAGCTCATGAGGAGAGGAGAGCCGGTAATCTGCATTCTTCAGAGGGGAAATCTACACTGATCATCAGGGCACTGATTATCAGATGTAGCCCCATCAGTGTAATCTGTCAGTGCCCATCAGTGCCACCTGTAAGTGCCATCAATGCCACACACCAGTGCCCATCCACACAATGCCACATATGCCCATCAGTGCACATCAATGCCACATATCAGTGCCTATCAGAGCTGCCTTTCAGTGCTGCCTATCAGTGCCAGTCAGTGTTGCCAATCAGTCCCACCTATCAGTGCCAGTCAGTGCCGCCTATCAGTGCCCATCAGTGTCACCTATCAGTGCCTGGTAGTGCCACCTAACAGTTCCAGTCAGTGCCACCTATCGCCTATCAGTGCCACCTATCAGTGCCATATATCAGTGCTGTCTTTCAGTGACCATCAGTGATACCTGTCAATGCCCACAAGTGATGCCCATTAGTGCCTCCTCATCAGTGCCGCCTATGAGTGCCCATCAGTGCTGCCTATCAGTGCCCTTCACTGCAGCCTCATTAGCGCACATCAGTGAAGGAGAAAAATTACTTATTTACAAAATTTTGTAACAGAAACCAGGGAAAACCTTTTTTTTTTTTAATTTTCAGTCTTTTTTAGCTTGTTTAGCAAAAAAATAAAAAACCCAGTGCTGATTAATTACCACCAAAAAAAGCTCTGTCTAAAAAAAAAAAAAAAAAAAAAATTTTGTTTGGGTGCAGTGTTGCATAACCGCGCAATTGTCATTCAAAGTGCAACAGCACTGAAAGCTGAAAATCGGCCTGGGCAAGAAGGGGGTAAAAGTGCCCAGTAGTCAAGTAGTTAAATAGAGTAGGAAAGTGTTAGCAACCCTTTGAGGTTTTCATTGTCATCTGTGGTCCCTGCTGCAGAGATTCTACTTCTCCATTTATTCTAATTAATAATGTCACCAGGACAGAAAGTGAAGGAAAATTTAAAATTCTGAGTTGAATCTGGAACAGAAATCAAGTCTTCTAAAAGTGGAGACTTGTCACAATGACAGCTAATGGTACATGCTTTGATATGTGATAACAGAGATGCAATCAAAAACTTACAATCTTAAGTTACAATCTTATCTTAAATGCAGATCAATTTCCCATGGGTGACACATAGATCAGCTGGTTTGTCAACTGTACAGTAGATCCATTCATTCGTATTGGAGGAGACAGATTGGAAAATAAATGACTATTTACTGAAGCAGGGTAAAGGAGAATGGCTTAAAGGAGGGGTCAAAACGCTGGCCTAGCGTTAACACAATGAAGCTGTGTTCAATGCCCATTAATGCTCTCTACAATCATGAAATGAGTTTGGCTTTTTTAACAACTGTACAAGTCCTAAACTGCAGCCAGTGTCTCACCAGAAAATTAATTTATTATCTGAACTTTATACTGTATTAATGTGATATATCCTTAAGGCATTCTCAAATGGTAAGCAATTTTGCAAATGCACAGCATAGAAACAGCTTAAAAAACAGGATAATAGTTAAGTAAAAAATTGTGGGAACAAGTTTTGATTTCTTGGGTGATCATTAGTATAGACATAAGTAATGTCTTCCTAAGTATATTTATTTTTGATTGACAGTTAGTTGCTATTGTTTCTTGTATGTCTGATACTTTTCATTTAAAATTGCTAGTTGCAGCAAGAATCCTTACCTTGTTCAGTAGATAATTATGTGGAGAGTGTGACAGTTGATACTACTTATCACTGCTTGTCACAGCAGGCTTCTGCAAACTATCCATCCTCCTATTGTTGTTTTGTCACTGTAAGCACAATAGATTTATTAACATTTTGCTATAGTACAGTACTACAACTAGAAATAAATATCCCAAACCTATAAGCATGGTTAACACAAAGTGACAAGAACCTGTCGGTAAAATGCGTAGAGCAGCTTTTCAGTTCTAGGTCTACGACACATATGAGGAAATGCATATAGGGTGTAGTAGATCAATAGTAATAGCAGTTTTGGATCTGCCCACTACCGTGTGTTTGTCCGAGTCCAATTGCAATGAACAAAATGTGCATTGAAGGAACGGCCCAAAATATACAAACAACCCAGTGGGAAAGCACCCAGGTGGGTATACTCACAGTTTTGTGCAAACTTGTAGACTTGAGCAGGTTCTGATGCACTGACAGTGTCTGTCTCTGAAGGAAATTAATTAATCAAATTTATGATTCGGCACTTATACTGATGGCAAGCTTGCAAAATATTTGGTTTTTATGATTAATCATAATTAATATTAAAATGTCTGAATGTTCGCCTTAACCGATGAATTATTTAATTCTTCAGTAAAATAAGCTGAGACAGTAAAATAAGACAGGAGTTAAGCTGAGACCAGCTGAACCAGCTGAGGCTGAGTATTCTATATTAAGGCATAGCTGGTTAGAAGTCTCTAGTAAATGTCAAGGGTATTAGAATTGACTCATTATTACATAATGTATTTTTAATAGTATCTGTGTATTTTTAGTATGATTTATAAGTTGCTAATATTGATACATATATAGATTAGTGATTATACATTGATATGTTGTAAAGATACGTTCTTAAGTTATATCACCATTTAAATATGATAGCTGAGGTTACATCATCAACATATGTACCTGTCCATCAAAAACATCATGTGTGTGGCGTCCCCTCCCTTCTATGAAATTGCTCTGCTAAGCAGTACTGATTTCTATACAAGGGTCTTAACCTCCCTAGCGGTATTCCCGAGTGTAGCTCGGGGTAAAATGTCTGTACCAAAAGCGGTAACCCCGAGCTACACTCGGGCTTACCATGCAGCGCTGCATAGGGAGTCCCTGCAGCACTTACCTTGTCCTTCGCTCCCGCGATGTGTCCCCTGCAGTGTCCCCGGCCATCTCCTTCGGCTGATGCCGGCATCCGGCTCCTGTGCTCCGGTCCCTGTGACGTCGGGACGTACAGGCGCTGCCGGCGGCGGGAAATTTTGAAAATTTAAAAAAAGTCATTTTTTTTCAAACAATTTTACATAGTAAAACATTGCTGTTTCAACCCATTTCACATACATTTTATCCCTAGTGCTTTGTCCTGTCTCCTGCCTGTCTGCATTTTGACTGTTCTTTCTGCCTGGAAACTTAGAAAAGTCCATGGTTACAACATACAACATATGTGTCCAAAAAAGTGTCCCTTTAGGTCAAAAGCGGGTTTAGATCAGCTAGAGAACAGCGATAGTAAATCAGAACCACTTGCAGAATTGAGTGATAATGATTCGTGGAGAAATTCGTCATCAGACACTGAAAATAATTTTGCGACTTTGCTCAGCGATGTGCGAACTTGGCGCTATATTTCAAATTTCAGTGTTTTTGGTTTGATTATATTATTGAATTAAATGTATTATTATTATATTATTATTTTTTTATGATTATTTATTAAATTATAATTTATGATTTTGTGTTTCAAATTTTATCATACCCGGGATGTTTACTAGACTCTTGTTCGGACAGATTTCAGTGAGTTATTCCTAAATATTACAGCCTACAATAAAAAAACTACATATTTCCATGCAAAATAATGGTACCGCTTTCAGCACCAAAAATCTGAAATAACCGCTAGGGAGGTTAAGAATCCCAAGCTATGACGCGTACTTACCTCATAAAAGACATGAGACAACGGACACAAGGACATTCATACACAAACACACATGTCTGAGAACATTCTGAAAAGCTGGAACAGGTGCTACAAGACATGAATAGTCATTTCTGTCTACTTCCGGCTTCTTCCCAAAGACTCGAGAAGGACAAGGAGAACATGGAAGGTGCACATGGCCAGACAGCCATGACAATAATGGTGACTTATTTTTAAACTTCTGCTTGATATTTCTGGTTTTATCTACATGGAATTGTTCATGATACGCTTTACATTGTTATTTTAAGCCAGATAGAATAAAATCACACTTAATTTTTTTATTTCAACGGCTCTTTCATTCATAATCGCCTCAAGACACTAAAAAAAGTATTATATGTGTCTAAAATCCAACAGTCTCCAAGGAAGGAATGCTGCGTATTCAGTCTGAGCCCAATGGGGACGATTGCGGAGAAGGATGGTGTGTCCCTAGCCTGTCCCTACTCATTCAGAACCTTTTTCCTATCCTACCCACTCACAAGAATGCATGCCAAATAATGGGGACAGGTGCTTAAAAAGGCTCTGTTGACCCAAAATGGCCACCAGGGTCAACTGTATGAAGCATAGCCAACTGGAATGCTGCCTAGAGGGACCAAGGAAACCATAGAGAAATCAGTGGTTTCCTCCACCTGCAGTAGAAAACTAGGACTGCAATTGCCTACACACTGTCAATTAAAAGTAAAGCCATCCCAGTGGCATTGCCCATATTTCAGTAATGACATCACATTTAGCTTTCGGCCATGGAACCTCCCGACCAATGGCTGAATGTGGCTGGGGATACAGCCCTCTGCAGGATGCTGTCACATTACATGACTGCTCCCCAGCACAGATATGCCTACTCTGAGCACTCTTGTACCTCCCAAACATACGAACAGTAAGGTTGAACAGCCTGCTGAGCGCCCCACAATGAACTGCGCTGTCACAGTGCATTGTGAGAGCCATGATTGGCCAAAGTCATGGTGATTTTTGCCAATCATGGCTCACAGCTAAGTTCACGCCCCACAGTATATAAGGCTGCTTACACTGCAGTCTTATGCAGTGTGTTGCTGGACACTGCCGAAGACAGAGATGAGAAACCCCCCCCCAAAAAAAAAATAATAATAAAAATAAAACAAAAAATTCATTTTAATAAAATAAACAGTGTGGACCCCCCCCCCCCCTTATCCATACCAAGTCCTTTAGATCTGATAGGAAGGTTAAGAGGGACCCACAGTAAAAAGATCAAAACATTTTTTAGGCCTGTTGGGACTTTTAAGGGGAGCCCCACCTCCCAAAAATGAGGGGGAAAAGTGTGTGGGATTCCCAGGCCACGTGTCCATGCCGATGGGGACAAGGGCCTCTTCCCCTCAATCCTGGCCCGGTGGTTCTGAGGGTCTGCAGGCAGGGGGGCTCATTAGCATCAGGGTACCCCTTTAGATAGGGGAGAACCCTGATGCTGTCCCTCCTTGTGAATGAGGGCTAAATTCAGTAAAATATAAAGAGACCAGTCTTTTGAAAAATTCCTTTAATTTAACAAAAAACAACAGTTTTTGACAAGTCCTTTAACCGCTTGCCGCCCACAATGTACTGAAGATGGGCGGTAGCTACAGGCAAAGCAAGGTACCTATACGTTGCTTCGCTCTTCTGGGTTTTGTTCCCTGCTGGCCCCCCGCTATCATTCGCTCTAGGAGATGTATGTCAGCAGATCACGGCCAGTGATTTTTGACTGGGACTCTGCTGATCTTCTACAGTGAATAGAGAAGCAAAGCTATGCTTGTATTTGCAAATACAGGTACAGGATCTAGCTGGATCTTCTCTCCTTGGAACCATTTTGAAAGACAAATTACATGAGTAAGTTTTACATGAGTAAAAGCAGCACACTTCACCCACACACGTTAGAGACATTTAACCCCTTACTTGCCTCCTTAACCCTTGGATTGCCCCCTGCCACCCTGCCAATGCCATTAGCACAGTGTCAGTGTACAGTATTTTTCACTGATCACTGTATTACTGCCACTAGCAATGTCTGATATCATCAGATAGTGTCAGGGTCAGTTGTCGCCCCTCCAAGCCAGGGTCAGCCAGTGTTAGATTAGCACACATGCTATAGGTCGCTGATCACCATCATTACTAGTATAGTGTTTGTACGGATCAATATGTTAATCACGAACAGAACTAGATCAGTGCCCCGTTCGCTGTCAGCACTTGCATTTAGCCATTCTGCCCACCCAACAAGAAGTGCAGTGTCAGTGTTATTTCTGATCACTGTCACCTGTGATATATTGCACATAAAACCACAGTGTTAACAGAATCAAGCCTGATCTCTGCTAGTGCTAGCAGGTGAATTTTATTGGTAGTGGTTCAAGCAGTCCCTGACAGCCAGGTGCTCTTTTTCCCATGAGTCTCACTAGGTACCTGTAAATTTAGAGCCCAAAATGTCACAAAAGAAGTACACCAGTAAAGAGGCCTACAGGATTCTGAGCATATCAGATGAGAGCGAATGGGAAGCCTTGCTCCAAATATGAACCTGTAGAAAGCAGCGCCACTCTGTTAGGTAGCTCGGATGATGGAGAAGAGGTCCCTGTTAAGATCAGGCATACCCGACCCCATGAAGCTGAAGTGCTAGAAAAGCATGACTTGTCTCAAATGCAGCAGAGTATCAGTACTAGTGCCGCACTACCTTTTGGTGAACTGGCGAGCACCAGCAGCCTAGTACATCCTGGTCTTTCTCATACCAGCACTGCAGTATTACTTGGTGATGTGACGAGTCCCATAAGTGCAGTACAAGCTGGGGAGGTGGTGAGCACAAGTAGCATCTCAGCCTCCAAGAATTCACACACAGGCCCTTGGAGCCCATAGTGTTATTCCGGAAGTTCTTGCAAATCCTGATTGGCAGCCCACAGATTCTGCAGCACCCATACTTCCCCCGTTCACTGCCCAACCCAAAATTCAGGTGGAAACAGCAAATTTAACTACTCCCCTTAATTTTATGGAGCTGTTTTTCACAGATTTGTACAATTTGATTGTGGGCCAAAGCAATCTATGCACAACAATATATAGCTGCCAGCCCAAATTCAGCTCTTGCCAGACAATTTGCATGGAAACCTATTTACGGTTTGTGAATGTAAAACCCTCAACATGGGCATTACAAAAAAGAATGAGTTGCGGTCATATACTGATCCACAGACCAAATTCATCATTTGCCCATGTTCTCTGTTGCCATGGGCAGGCATAGATATGAGAAGATAATGTGCTTCATGCATTTCAGTGATAACACACTCTGTCATCCCAGGGGTGACCCTGAACATGACTGGCTCTACAAAATTCAGCACCTCACAAACCACATCACTTATAAATTTGCAGATGTATATAGTCCTAGCAAAAGTTTGGTGTATCCTCTTTACAAAAAGGGGTCATTTGGGGGGGGGCTTTATGATATCCTGAAACTTCACAACCCCTGAAACTGTGATAGGTAGTGAAGAAGCGAAATGAGGAAATTACGCACCTTCAGGCTTACAAAGGGGTCAGTAGATTTCGGGCCCATGTGGTATCCCCATACTTGATAGAAGTAGCAGATTATATTTTGGGGTGTAATTCCACACATACCCAAGTGATTTAAGTGACAGCTTTGTGTAAAAAAAAAAATTCCAAAAACTTGTGGAAATAAGAATAAATCTTCCATGGACTCAACATGCCTCTCAGCAAATAGCGTAGGGTATCTACTTTCTGAAAAGGGGTCATTTGTGGGTGTTTGTACTGACATTTTAACACCTCAAGAAATGTGATAGAAAGTAAAAGCTTTGAGTATCTATACTATAGTTTGTAGACGCTATAACTTTCTCACAAACCAATGAATATTCACTTATTGGGATTTGTTTTTACCAAACACATGTAGCAGAATACATTTTGGCCTAAATCTATGACTAATTTTGAGTTTGTTGGATATTTTTCAAAACAGAAAGTAGAAAATGTTTTCTTCAAAATGTTTGGTTTTTTTCATTTATATCACAAAAAAAAAACAGTGGTGATCAAATTCCACCAAAAAAAAAGCTCTATTTGTGTGAAAAAAAAAGGACATCATTGCATGACCACGCAGTTACCAGTTGAAACAGTGCAGCACCAAATAGTAAAAAATGGTCTGATCATGAAGGGGGGTAAATCTTCCGGGGGGCAAGTGGTTAATAAAAAAACCCATCAGCTCGCTGAGATAAAAGAAAAACCTGATGCCTGCCGACCTGTCTACACCTGCCAATCACTCGCCGCAATATAACAGGTCTGATATTTGCTCGCCAGATGTAAACAATTAGGCGGGGCTTGCAGTGACATCACTGCTTACATCACTGCTAGCTTCACCCAATTGTTCCAATTGGTTACATCTGACTGGCAACTGTCTGATCTGTCATATTGCTGCGAGTGCTTGGCGGGTGTGGACAGGTGGGGGGGCATTGTTTTTTTAAATTTTATC